TAAAAGATGTATCAAAATCGGGTGTAAAAAACGTATCAAAATCATTTGTTGATAAATCGGGTCTAGAAATGTTGTCTAATATATTCTTGTAAGTCTCTGCCTGGCAGTTTATACAAAAACCGACCGTTCTTCTTTCGGCTAGGCATGTCGTCTGGAAATTGTTTACATTGCCGTAAATGGCGCGAAACTATGTCGTAAACAATAAATACAGAATAAATGTAAATAAAATATGACTACGATCGAAAATTGTTATATTTTATCATTTTGGTGCCTTAAGTAATCAGAACAGGTAATGTCTACATTTATTTTAGATCTTTTGTTAAAACCGTTAAACCAACAACCGAAAACTGCCCGAGTTGCGCAATATTCAAAAACCCGTTCTAGATCGGGCCTCGTTAAGTATTTTATATAAACGACCAATTTTTAATATGCCATTGAAGTTTGGGGTAATTGTAGGATTTCTTATACATGAAAACTATACCTATCATATCATATACCCTAAAATACACTATTGTTTTTTATAATCTTATATTATTTTTACAGGCTATTAAATGTTTACCAGTAAAAGTATCATTTGTAAAGAAACTGGATGGGAATCTCTACAAGATCGTCGCAGTCCAAATGTTTTACTAAGTAAAACGTGGAAACTCTTAAAATTATCTTTGAGATGTAATACAAAGCACTACTATATTTACTTTACGAAATGGCAAAGATATTACAGTACTGTTTAGCTAGGGGATAGATTAGGCGTAGCTGTGCGTAAAACGAAACGTTTTTTGAAAGAAAAATATATTAGACCATTTTAAGCCAAACATTGACATGTCCATGATTTTGCATTAAAACCTGAGGATAAATGCGCTCCATAGTATACTTATTTAAGATGTCCCGAAAACCAGGGGTTATTTTCAGGAGCAGTTGACTTCTGATCGGTTGTGTTTAACTGCGACTTTCAAACATTGATTGAAAATTGGCATATAGAAAGGTGATACGTGTACAGAACTATGCCTGGTTTCTATGAAGTTAAACCTTAAGCTAAAATATATAGAAAGCAAAGAAAATTTTAAAATTTGGAAAATTTATAGGAGTTTTGAATTGGTGGTCTGACACCTAAACTTAACGATATTTCTGTAAAAAAACATTTAATTTCGCTAATAAATATTAACAGAAATTCTATTAAAAGCAAAAGAAATTCAATATTCATTAAAATTATTTACTTTAATCAGAAACCTGGGACGTAAGGTATACTATTCCCAGCGGAAACTAAATATATCATCAATAAAATATAATAAATAATGTTATATATTGTCCCACAGGTTTTAACCAGAGATCTAGGTTTTAACAGTGAATTCATATATCAGGGAAGCACATACATAAATTAGTATAGTAAATTTAAATTGTAATGAATGAAAACAAAAATACATGTAGTTGCATGGTTTCAATCTGAGGTTACGATAACACACAGTAATCTCAATTATAATTATCTAGGATTTTAAATCCGATATCACAAAAAACGGAATTAATATTTTACTATTATCATTTAATTCTACGTTAATTATTGTATACAGTTTTAGAATGGATCTGCTTATGTTATGTGTTGCAATATATTCAAAAAACGGAATTTTAGACTAGAAGAAGAGATTGACATATAAAAATGTCCATCAGTAAATACTTGACGTTTGAGTTTAGTGATATTATATTTTGAATTTGATTTGATAAATTGATATGATTGGAAAAGAACTATATAATTTCTTTAGTTTTGGCACTTTGGCAAGGGTTTTACTGCCGGTCGGATAAAGACATATTAAGTGACCATATTTCTATTTCCCAGTCACCCTTGTGGATGACAAGTAATGAGAAAAATTCACATCTTATTGTCCAACATATGACTTGTACAGACTTTAAATTTACATAAGCTACAATTTGGACAAAAAATAAAAATTTCAATTTTCTTTGTTTCAAGTCTCCAAAGGTGACTGGGGAATAGAATTATGGTCAACACAGATCTTCCGACCGGCAGTAAAACGTTGCCAAAAAGGGACATCAGTTTGAATCTGCGGGATTAATAAGTACGCAGCCATGTCCAGTCAGAATGGGGACGTTAAAACAGATGTCTCGTGTAGATGGTAAGCCACGGTCTCTGGACGTACAGAACCCTTGCAACAGCATTTTAGGGCCCTGTTGTTGGGCTGTTGCCAGGCAAAATTTGTGTCCCTATCAAATTTACCCTAATTTTCCAGTAGAATTCTATATTTCCTGCCTTTCATGCAGTTCAATTCCCTATTACATGTACATGATATATACCTTTTTTATTTACGTCCTGAACATGAATGAAATATTTGCCACTGGACGTTAAACATTCATTCGTGTGGGTAAAGATGACATCAATACACTCCAAACACCATCAAACGTCCTGTTCAAATATTTAGTGCTTAAATATGAAGAGAACTGAACGGAACAAACACATTTATCACATGTGTAATAATTGCATCGAAATACTTAAATACATTACGTAAGTTAAAATATAGACTTAGTATTTATATTACGAACAATTTTTGAATATGTCGGTGAACCTTAGGATAATTGTGGAATTTCTGATAGTGGAGAACTAATAAAATGTGTTTTTTTAATCTTATATTATTGTTACTGGCTATCATTTTTTTACAAATAAAAGTAACATTGGTGAAGAAACTGGATTGGATTTTGTACAAGATCGTTGTAGTAGAAAACAACCAAAACATGTTGTACTAAGTGTAAGTGGAAACTCTTAAAATTGTCTTTCCGATGTAATACAAAGTACTACTACATTTCTTGTCAGAAAAAGCGAAGATATTACAGTACTGTTTTGCTAGGGGATAGATTAGACATAGTTGTGCGCAAAGAAGAATCGTTACCCAAATTTAAAACAAGTTATGGGGTAGAAAAAACGATGCCTTGCTGCTTTTGGTCCCAGAAACCTCAATAATATTTAGACGCAATTTAGAAGTTCATCACCATTCTCTGATTCGGATCTTTTTAAAGATAAATTAGTATCAAATAGCATCTTGTCTATGTGGGTTTCCCCATGAAGATTGATATCATGTCTTCTTTAAATATCCTATATATACAAATTTCGTCATAGTCTTAGGAATTATTCTAGCTCTTCACCAGATAACCTTGTATTAGATCTAGAAAAATGCTGACAAATGAATATGAAATTATTTTAATTTTTTTTTAAATAGGGATAGGAACTCTGAAATAAAAAAAAATGTTTGATAAAAAATAAATATATTTGTGTTGATTTACAATCAAATTGATGATTTGCTTTTTTCTCTCCTCCATATATAACTCAAGTAGACAAAAATACTACTATTAACTTTTATATAAATATGGTGTCATAATTTAACTTTGATGAAAGTTCTAGGCAGAAAAATGTAACCTTTAGAATATAACTATATCCTGTATATGATTCAGAAATACATGTTATCTAAAAACAGGTTAATTTGCATTTCTTTTCACACACATGTGTACAATAATTCATTTGACCATCAAACTGGACACTAGACTAGTTCATTTTATTTTTATTTATGAAACATAATATAGAAAGTTTCGATTTACCAGTCCATACATTTTCACAAAATGTTAGGAAAACAGCCAGAGATCTTTTTTACTTTAAAAAAAAAAACGCATTTTTCAAATTTTAGAAATTTTACAGTTCATGTGTTTTCATCCCTGTAAAAGTTTTTATTTTAAAGAGAAACGCTGAAATACTAGTATATATTTGACGCCTTTTAGAGCAAGGTGTGTCATAGCAGAAAACCGCATTTATGATTATGCTGTTATTATTCCAATACAACCAAAACAAAAGCAGTTAGTAAATGAAGTCAACCGTTGACCGATCTGATTATTTTTAAACAAAAAAGTCAATTTGAACATTTAAAGGCCGGATTCGTCTACCTCATATAATCTTGTCAGGCACTATGAGGGGTGGACAACTGGTCCCTGATTCCAACTTCTCTCCCCTCTAACTCCCACTCCCATACCTACTCCCAGTTCCCTCACTCCTTACTCCCAGATGAAAATCGGTCAAAATGTTTATGGAAAATATCTCTATATTTGCTCCCCCCTCTTCCGCCGGTTCCTGCCCCCTGACTCCCACTTCCCTCACCCCTGTCTCTCCCCTCACTATATTATTGAATTATGTAAAAATGTATTTAAATACTTGCATTCTCATAGTCTATTGATTTTGATATTATGTCTTAGGAGTAAATAAAGTCATCGTAGACACCAGGATTAAAAATGTGTACGCCAGACGCGTGTTTCGTCTACAAAAGACGCATCAGTGACAATAGAATAAAGCAAGTTAAAAAGGCCTATTAAGTACGAAGTTGGTGAGCATGAGAAGACGACATATGTTTGACTTACTTGCGTCTAACCTTTTTTTGAGATATTTGCAACAAACAAAATATGTTAAAACTAACAAATAGAAGAATAATTAATTGGGTTAAAACTGCAAATGGTCAGACCGAAAAGAACAGACTGTAATTTTTAATTATCACAAAATAATGAGTATGCTGGGTATAACTGAAATTTTGCATTTCAAAAGTTATTTGCGAATTTCCCAACATGCAGAAGCATTACATTTTCTAAATCCGGTACATCATGAACATTGGCTTTAACGTTCCTGCGTTTTTAGTCCTATTGCTTTCCCGAAACCATATATTAGTGTAAACAATATTTTATTGTGAAAATAATAACAAATATTACAATATGACAGTTTATTAGGATAGGAAAACAAGTGAAATTTTACTTTTTTAAACACATAAAACAATATATTAGACCCGACCCTTTTCTGTAATATATTGCCTTGTGTTTCCTTCAACATTCTGACTTGTTTGTTGCTATGACGAACATTGTTAATTGCTATATCTACGTGTCACTTATATGGTTAACGTTCGTTACGTGCAGATTTCAACCAGTTTAGGTCACGAGTCGTGCTTATCTTTAAATAAATAAAGATAAGGTTGAAACTACGAACTTCATTTCAAACGGAATTTAGATAAAACTTGTAATGGAAATTGTTCATATTTTATGTGTATTTAGTTTGATTGCATTATCAAGTGTGAGTATTATACATAATGGTTCACATGGTGAATTAAATGGCAGTTTAAAATAATGAATTTACATGAATATTCATTGATAAATTTGACTACACAAGTAAAATCGAATTTGAGGGAATGTAGTCTTTAAGGGTATAATGTGGTCATATTTTTAACGGAACGAATCTAAATTACCACCGGGCCTGACTATAGAAGATCTCAACCTTATCTCATACCTACTAAGAACTGATTGAACAGAAGATTAATGCCGTACATATATCGTTGATGAAAAGGTTCAAAAAATTCATTGCGCAGAAAAATCCTCATGTAAGCTCACGACACCGCTTTGATGAACTTTTGTAAGTCAACGTTGTGTAATGTAGACAACAAGTCAACGTTGTGTAATGTAGACAACGTTGTGTAATGTAGACAACGTTGTGTATTGTAGATAACTTTGTGTAATGTAGACAACGTTGTGTAATGTAGACAACGTTGTGTAATGTAGACAACGTTGTGTATTGTAGACAACGTTGTGTAATGTAGACAACGTTAACACTGTTTCGAAGTTCCACGTTTTATAAGACTACGGTATACAAATACTTTTACATATAAAATCTACTGCGAGTCATTGTCCTATATTAATGCCTTGTTCAACAAATGTATATAAAGAAAAGTTATGTGAAGACATTTTTGATAGATAAGTTTTGGCTAAGAAGACAAATGAATTCGAAGGATACGTAAATTGTCACAAAATATTGTGTTACAATAAGCGTTAACACTTGACTGTTGGTAGACATAAAAGTACATAAACAGATAAATCAAAACAAAATAAGGTTAACTTTACCTGTAGGAGTTGCAACAATAAATTTAGTTATATTGCAATAACATCATTTATTTGTAAATGAACAGTTCAAATGTATTATGCCGGAACAAGCACTGTCATATGTGCCCTATAGTGATGTAACAATACACAAACAGCATTTTCAAGCAATACTAATCGGAGCAGTCAAAATTTGAAGGTCACTTTATACATGAGCAACCCCGAACAAAATACAATCAATAAATATGCAGCAAGCGGCATGTAGAGGTTAGGCCTAATACTGGTCGCTCATAGTCAGGATAATGTGTCCGGGTAGGGTGATATGTCGACTATTGTCCCGTGACCTATTTAAAATCTAGAAGATGTAGTATATAGGATTGCCAATGAGGCAATGACGCAAACGTCATCAACTAGAACGTTATAAATCTCGCAGCGAGTCGGTCTAGTAAAAAAAATGGGTTCAACCATATCACAATAATATTTTCACGTCATAATACCCATGTAATATTTGCCACTGGAAGTTAAACACAGATTCATTATATTCTATTTTAATCGTACTGTATTCAGAGAACTAAATTCAAAAGTGTATTAAATAATTGCACAATGCTCTATCTTAGGCTTTCAAACTAACAAGTACTGATAGCTGCCCAAATAGCGACGGAATCGTTGGAATATGTGTATTTGACCCATCTAGGAACTGTGTTGGACAAGACCAGTGTCCATCCGGTAAGTTGTACATTTTTTAATTTGTTTATCACATGTAAAATGTATTGTTTATGAAATACTGGTCCCACTGCATGGATAGTAGAATAGAGAATGAAACGCGGAATGTTTCAAAGAGACAACAACCTACCAAAGAGTAGTGTATTTCACATACTTTTTTTTAAAAAACCTTTCTGAGACTTAATGATTTAAGTACAGGGCGAAAATATATAAATGACGATTATGGAGACATTAAAGCAATGTAATGAGACCAGACAAAATCTTTGTTCCAAAATATTGTTAAACATGACATAAAGTGGAAGATATGAACCACTAATCTTATGAACGAACCAGAAATTGAAGAAACACCTCTTCTCGAAGGTTTTCAGTGAACATCCGGAGGGCTCATACCTTTCAGCAAGATTGAAATAGCCATTGTGGTTGAATTGAGTGATCATTTACTCATATAGCAGTTGAGAATTTTATTTCATCCCGTTTGCACTTTTTCAAATGAAGGGAATTAAAACGACAATTTTATTATATTTTCAGGATATAAATGTTGTCCGTATGGATGTGGTTCGCAATGCTTGGCTGTTACTGTTAAATTCCAGCACCTTGGTATGCTTACTTTTTACTGGCAAACATTTCTTTGTTGTTCCATTGTATTTATATTTATTATTCATTTATTTAATCGTAACTTTTATAAGACTAGGGCAATTTATTGAATATCGTCTGTGCCTTTTTATTCTTTAATTTTGGAGCAGTTAGTTGTAAAAATTAACAACGTTAACGTTGCCGATTTCAATTTCATAATGAGAATTCTTCACGATTCCTGTAAAGAAGCCGATTTTGATCGTGCTTTCCAAATTATGCGCTGTTTTTTATAACTTTCGACAGAAACTACTACATGAAAGAATATTCCTTACGGTCTTGTTAAGCAAGAAATTTAGAATTGTTTCACAGACGTAACATGTTACTGTTTACTTGATTATCGCTGCATCTTTCAATCTCATATTTGAAGTTACATTAAACAAAATTTCGTTTCAACCATTGACGGTTAAAAGATCACTATGTTATCCATTCATCTATTTGCATTGTTAAAGTATGCCTTTTCCACTAAATCATCGTGGCAAATAGTAGTACCTATGTTCGTCTGTTCGTCCGGTAATATGAAAGTTAGTATAAAAATAAAGAGATGTGGTATGATTGCCAATGAGACAACTATCCACCAAAGTTCAAATGAAGTGAAACGTTTGTCCGATAATAGATATGTAAGTCAATGAAGTATCCATGCATAAGTTTATAATAGCTTGAAATGATAAATGGCAAGATATAATATACAGTATCTATTGTGATTTATAGGGTCTTGTCCATCAGATTCAACAGGCTCATTAGTTGCAAAATCATGTGGACACGATCAAGCATGTAAGACCAACGAGAAATGTTGCAGTGGCCATTGTGTTGCAGTTCGGAAGTTTTCTGTGAACGTTCTGAATCCAATTCAGATTCAAAAATAAAAGACACAACATCGGTGTCATGTGACTCTCATATCAAATATCTGTACAAATTAATTGTGCAAATATAAAGATATTATCACGAAAAAATGTACATTTAAAATATGGCAAATATTCATCTATAGCTGTACACAATATATATTTTCCATCTATGCACCGTTTTGAATTATACTGAAATAGGGTTTGTTTGGAGGATAGGGTGATCAAAATAGTTTACTCTGGTCCTAAATTCGCAACAGGAGACTTTACATTAGTTGTCAATAGTTATTTATGTATTTTTCCTATACAAGATTTCCTGTTGAAGGACAATGTTGTTTTTTTCAATTTCTTCACAACTTTTCTTTAATGTAGAATTATGGTTTTTATTGGCCCCTTGATATTTTTTTTTTCGAGACCTTGGCATGTTTTCTATTATTAAAGGCTTCGAACTAGATGTCCTCTGTCCCTCCTTTACTTTTTGTGGCGTTGGCATGAGTTTCAGTTTAATTGACCTGTTGATCCAGCGTTTCATTTTATCTATGAAGACAAAGACATGTAGGCATACGCTATTTCATATATCATAGAATATCAGGTATTAAGTGGTTCAGTATACAATTTTCAAATAAAATCAGAATCTAGCAAATTTACTTATTTATAAACAATAAACTTAGTTCGCAATATGGTGTGAAATTTCTGAGTTATCGGTCCATGTATACCCAAGTTACAAACAATATAATATGCATACCCATTTCATGGACACGGCCAGGTTTATGCTATCTTTCGAAAAAAATAAGCATGGGAAAACTATTGTTTTTCTTAAAGTTCCTAGTTTTCTTTGAAGTTACGTGTGTATTTTGGTAGAGGTAGGCCAGTGATAATGTATATGAGGTTGACTTCATCAGATATTAAATAGGGGTAGATTCTACCCTGGAATTTGTTACAACAGGGAAATTTTCTATTTTTTACTCTTTTTATCATAAAAAAAAAGTAAACTCTGGAAGGTATGATTGTACTGAGAGACCAGTTAAGCTGCCTTATCTTTTTGACTGAGAACCAGTGATGATGTATAAAAATATAAATCATTTCTGTCATGGGCAGAAAAATTTGTCTGATATATCCTATTTATTTCTGTTTTTTGAAAAAAATTATGAGTGACTATGTTACAGCTGTCATTATTCATGACTAAATGCACTAAAAACCACGAAAACAGTATAAAAGTACAGACACCATAACAAAATTCACATTTAAAATTAAAATTGATACAACTATTCATTATATAACCCAAAAAATTTGTAATATACAATGGGAAAATTCAAAAAAGGACATAAAGGTGGTTTTAAAGTAGGACTTGTGCCACATAACAAAATGAGAAAATGTGTTTCATCCAAAGTAAGTGACAGTGAACAAACACGTTATGTTATACTTACCCGTGAAATGACAAATCTTGTACAAAATGTACCATATAAGGAAGATAAAAGTACATCCAACACTGGCATCAAACCTGCCACTTTGTTGCGACCAAAATCTAGTGACATAAAAAAGAGCTAAACCTGTAAAAGAAAAGCAAAGGTAAGGATATCTTATACATAAATATTACCCATTTAATTAATTTACACACATATTAATCATTTAAAGAGGATCACAGTTGCAAATCTGCAAGAAATCATGTACAAGGGTCACTTTCTACATGTACACCATATTGCTAATTTTGGAAAAATCTTATTCCAATATTCGAAAGTATGCAAGTAAATCTATAAATATGGAAGTACAGATATTTATTAAGAAATTGAGACAAAGACAAATAAATCTGATATACAGAAGGATTTTTCAAAGCCAATTAAAAAATTAGCAATTTTAAGGGGAGGTAACTAGCAATTTACATTCCACCTACTATTCAAATATACTAATCAGAATGTTTGAAAAATACACACATATTTACCTGTTGTTTGAGTCTGAAGTGAGTCTGAAACCAACAGGACTATCAACATAAAGTTAAATGCAGTCATGTGGAATGCTGTCTTTAATGAACATTCAGAACTAAGTCCACATTGTATGGGGTTCCTTGAATGGGACATGTCCAAAGAAGAAAGATGGGGCCTTGGCAATTCTGAATGTGCTAAATGTGACACATGTAGTTACCAGTCTAAGAGATATAGACTGTTTGAAGAGGTCCAGATTGGAATAAAGGGTAGAAAGCCTGCTAAAATGAACATAGGTGCACAAGCCGCATTAGCTCAAACTCCTATTTCGACCACAAGCTTTCGAAAAATCTTTTTAGGAACTAATTCTGTCGCTCCATCTGAAGGGTCTTCAAAAGAGAGCCAATGTTTTGCTGCCCAAAATCAAAGACATAAATGAGAGTGACATGAAAAGACTGCGTGAACGATTAATTCATATCAAAAAGTTACGTGGTGCGGACAATCCATCTGCCGTAAGTCTTCAAGGAGAAGCCGCATACAATAACCCTCTGTATTGTGGGGTTGGTCGTACACCATTCCAGCCTGCAACCGAAGTGGTATAAACTGTTGCTGAAAATGAGACACAGGAAAGAGCATATCGACAGTTGTTACAAAAACAAAACTCTGTTCCATACGCCCAGTAAATCCAAACAGTGGAAAATTTGATGAGTGCACTAAAAAATGCAGCTCAACTTTGGCCTTCCTGAAAAGCATCGGGGATGAATATTCCTGGGCCAAGGAGACCCTGACAGATTTAAATTCAGATGATACCGAGGACAAACATTTTACAACTGACCCGACAGCTTTGCATTTAAAGCTGCGGAAGATCTGCATCATGAAAATATCACACATACTGAGCTGGAACATTTCCTGGCAGATAATCACAGGAAAAATATAAAGAAAAATCCCCAAATTCTCAACATGATGTCTGGAAGAACTAAAAAGATGAAAGAAAATCTCCAAAACAATTTTGTTTTAGATTTATCAGCAAGATGCGCTGCTGAATTTACAGAACCAATGGAGAAATATGGTGGAAACTTCCAAAAAATCAAAAACAAAATTTCCTCTATATGTCAGATGCAATCCCAATGTGTTATACAGGAAATCACGGGCTATGTCGTCGTCATTCTTTTGCGTGTAAAGGTGGCAAGAAATTCCGGCTCAATAACAGTAGCTTTTTGAATTCCATGTTTAAAATATTGAATACATTAAAATATCAGTGAAATAAGAAAATGTATACTCTACCGTCTCGGTACAGATGCCTTAAATAAAACAAAACTCAACCTAAATACGCAAAAAGTTGAAGGATTTAACCGAAGCTTACGAAGATCGCTTCCCAAAAATGTTACCTTCACCAAAAACCTTGAAGACAGATTCCATGCAGCAGTCCACAGTGTTAATCTTGGTCCTGGGGAATCCTTGATGTTGATTTGTGATCAGTTGGTTGCACCAGTTACATTGTACTACAGGGTCCTCTGTTGAACAATCTCTAAAATCAATACAAAGAACTGATAAACTTCAAAAGGAGCATAAAAAGTCACTTAAATGTAAAAAATAATTGCCTGACAAAAGGAAGTATCTTTACAAAGCGTACGCAATCGAGAAGGAGAATCGAGACTATCGAAAAAAACAAACTTTTATCCGACGCCAACAAGAAAAGTGCTGGGAAAAAACAAGAACATGGTTACGCGAAGGTGAAAAGAGTACACAGAACTAGCAAAAATTAAAAAGGTACAAAGTTAACAGTGTGGTTTATGGCTTTTAGAGCAAAATCCCTGTCCCTTGCAGTGTATTCGGTCTTGGTTGGTAGCATGGGTCTCTAGAATAATGTGATCTGCGTTTACACATAGCTTATTCTGACACAGGTGGCTACACTCAATTGTATTGTTATTTTCATCTAGCTTTGGCATATCATTTCGACTGATTTTATGTCTAATCATATATGCCACCCTTCTTTTTTTAAACCCTCAATGGGCCATTTTACATTCTTCACCCAATAGCCATATTTGTCAACATAGCGCTCCCATACTACACAACCATATCCATTGTCCAGTTTCCATGTTTTCAGTGCTAAAATTCTCTCCAGATGCTGGAAAAAGTCTCCCATTGTGAGTTTATCAAAAAAACGCTTGCATCAGTAATCTGACTTCACAGACCGTTTTGAAAAGTTAAAATGAAGGTGAAAGTACTAAATAGTTTTCCATTGCCGACAATGTTAGCCTTTTGTTTTATTACTTCTAAATAAAAGAAATTCTATGGTTGAAAATGGTATTAAAAGAAAAAACAATTCATTGTCATCAAAATGCCACACAAAAAATATATGGTCCCATGGCTTTTACGGGTGAATTCTGGGGTTGTCAAGAACGCATGACAATCCCGCAGAAAAATATCACTAATTATTAGCACTTCAACTCAACTAATAAACTGATTCCTATGTAAATTATTTCACAATAAAACTATGCATAACTGTAGTCATACTACAGTGGCTTTCCAGAAAAAAAATATCCATCTGAAATAACAACCAATCACAGAGACCCACCATTTTTCTTCTCTATGTCATGTTCCCATCATTCACCAAGATGGCTGCGTCCATAGATCTCCATTTGGTACATTGATACCTATAATAAAGTTGTAGAATATGAAAAGAGATCCGAATTGTCATGTTGTAAAATTGAGTTGTCGTTCGTGTACCGAAAAAAAAGTAACTAAAGTTGCACTGCAGTAGTATTGACGTTTTAGCACAAGTGACGCACTTTGCCCACTTATGATAGTTCAAAGATCGTCTTATTTTTGATTAAAGTACAAATGTAACCAAAAGGGCAAATTAAAATTAAAGAGTCTAATAAAAAACCCAGGAACAGACAAACCTTTAGTTAACAAAACACTACACAGAAAAATTCAGGGTGACTGGGGAATAGAAATATGGTCACTACAAATCTTCTTCCGACATGCAGTAAAACCCTTGCTAAAGTTGAGCGTCCGTTTGGCCTTGCGGGGAGTACAAGTACGCAGTCACGTCTGTATGTTAAAGACCAAACAGCCTATTGTTTGTGCGCATTAGCTAACACAACTTGAGTGTAACATAAAAGCCGTATGTTGACGTTTCCAGCTTGACAAAAAGCGGCAGATTAGAACGTCACAGTTCGCGTATTATAC